CTACTTCTACTACTCCCAGTCCTAGTCCTAGTCCTACTCCCACTCTTAGTCCTAGTCCCACTCCTACTGCTACTCCTACTCCTACTCCTCCTACTCCTGCTCCTACTCCTACTCCTACTCCTACTCCTACTCCTACTCCTACTCCTACTACTACTACTACTACTACTACTACTACTTCTACTACTCCCAGTCCTAGTCCTAGTCCTACTCCCACTCCCACTCTCACTCCTGCCCCTGCTCCTACTCTACTCCTGCTACTGCTACCACTTGCACTGCTACTGCGACTACAACTGTACGTTTGCTATACTGGCTACATGTAAGCTTTCGATTCCTCCTTGGCTAACACTGCGGCAAATCCCATGTAACCAGAAGCCACCGGCAGTCACAGGATCGTGAGCAGCTTGTTCTGCCGCTGATCGGACTCTACTATCGTGTGGCTGCCGCGGAGAGACGTGCCTGGGTAGACCCTTTTGCCAGTTTCACAAGACTTCCCAACAATCCCTTGCAGTGGCATTGCAACTAGAAGGGTTCATTGAAGCTTGGAACAAATTCGGACAAGGCAGGCGAGACGCGTGCCCCTCTGTTTTCCTGGTTGGCAAGGCGGCGTTGACAGCAACGAGGGGACCGGGATCCTGTACGGCATGATGCAGCGAAAAAGGGAAGCTATTTTCCCTCGAACTTTTACTCACATCTCCTTGGAGAACGGAGTTGAGGCACGCCAGCCCTCACAAGCCTGCACCGCGCAAAACTTCATGACTCTTGTGTCAGGTCAAGAAGAAGAAAGTTCTTTTCGGTGATTTATTGGAGCGCGTTGACATTCATTTAGCTCACTTGGATAATGTGCCTTGGCAGCAGAGTAGAACTGGTGGGCAGCTCGACAAATGGTGTGGTCGGGCAATCAGGCCAGCCCGCAGACGCAAGGACAGTAAAACGTCGTTCGTTTGGCAGGCATGCTACAATGCTTCATGCTGACTGTGTTACTTCTGCATGTTGCATCGGATCCGTTGCCGAAGCTTGTGCGAAGAGTTGGTCAAAGTGGCCATGGCAGACTTTTGCCTAGCCCCAACCAGGGCAGGGAGGATTTTTCGGGCCCATAATTTGGGCCCGGGCAGGGCCTTGCATGGAGCAGATGGGAGCGGTGGTCACCTGGGGTGAAGGCGTAGCACCGAGGATCGCACGAAAGCCCCGTAACGGAGCTGCCCAGGGAGTGAGAAGCGACTGAGAAGGGTCGCGGATAGATGAAAGCTAGGGCCAGGGTCTCGACACTCGTGAGCTGATTGCAGCGTTGGCTTGGCAAACCGGCCGAGGAAATGCTGCTTGACTTCGTCCGTCATCCCACGAGCTCGTCATCGATGTCTCCGTCCATGCGCAGAGGATATGTAAGCCCAGGAGGTTCTTGGACCGCGCTTAGCATGTTATCACAGTCATGCGCCGGAGTTGCCCGATCAAGCACGAACAAGAGGACCAAAGCTAAGCCTTCCTGCGCCTGATGGACCTTTCACCTTTGGCGCGATCTCCAGGCAATCCGCAAGGGACCGGATCGATGTCGATCTCCGCCCTTGCCGAGCGCATTGAGCGGACCAGGGGGCTGAGCGATATATCTGTGGATGACAACTCCGCCGACTTTCGAGAGTACCAGGCTGGTGACCGGTGCAGTCGGGGATAGAACCAAGTCTTGGCCCGTGCTCCTATGGTTTTTGAACTGCTTCTTGAGCCTCCTAGTGGCTGCCCATCTTAGGAGATTCTAACAGCCAGCAATGTGGCCGTCAGCGCGGGAAGCCCTAGCTCAGGATTCCGTGACGGCTCCTGTCAGGCCCAGTCGAAGAGCGAGCTGGTCATAACGAGAATGTAACGTATTGGAGGCCAGGGCCACATTGAAAAAAGTCGTGGTGAGTCGGAGCTCGCTGGTGTCGGTGAGTAAGGAATTTGAGGAAAGGGGTGTTTCCAGCGAGTGTCTGCATTTTGGGATCTATTGGACACCTCCCTGATGTCTTGGATGCTGGACACTCAGGATTGAAGCGGTGCACAGCGAGTGCGGCTCAATTCCGAGTTTAATCTTGCCTTATTTTCACCTCATGTGTGGCATCACAGTGCGCACCACCTATTGCTGACAATCGCAAGATTTGTAAAGGTGCGAAGTGATGCATGCAGTGAATTAATATGCCTGTAGCGAGCTACCATTCAGTTTCCTTCCACCGTGACTTTGCTTGGGCTTTCTGTGCCTGCCCAAAGTTGCGTCTAACTCGCGGCGCCGTCAGCCTTCAGTTTTGCTTTGTGCACAAACTCTCCGACTCTCAGTGGTAACCTGTGCATGCCTCCAGCGGCCAATCTTGTTGGATGTCCTGTCGAGATTCCGGCATGCTTCATGATGCCTGCGCATGAGAACCGCATTCTTCTACTTGTCTAATTCTCCAAGGTAGAGATCTGTCACGGCACTAGAATTGAATCCGAACGTTTAGAAGCTCTGTTGCGCTGCATTTCCGGAAACTGAAAGGGAGCTGTTTTCCAGCTGGATCGAGCCACTCACGCTACAGCGAACACCTGTTAGTATGTCTTTCGCTGCCGTCGGGCCGTTTGTAGATTTGATTTAGTTAGGCTTGATCCGGCCATTCTCAGCACTCACGGCTTTCCAGAAGGACAGGCCAATACGGTTCCAGAAGACGCTAGACTGGCCAAAGGATGCCACATGTAATGGCCGGCTTAACGACCGGCGTCCGAGACTTTTCTGCCTGAAAGCGGAGCTTCGGGGGAATCTTCGAGAGTAGACAGGCCCTGGCATGCCAGAGCTGCCAGCACAGCATCTCTTCCTTCGCTTTAAAGTGGCTTGAAGACTCAGACTGTATTCCTTCGTCCTTTGCTTCTTCGCAAGATGTTACATGGCACAGAAGAGATGCGGCAACCTCCCTTCATTGGGGGAGTCAGAGGACCATGTCGCAACAGTCAGCTGCCAGTGGTGTCGGCAGAAGCCGCATGCACTTCAGTAGCAGTTATTTTCGACAGCATGAGAAAGAAGGCTTGCTTTAGGGCTTGCTGACAGCAACTGCAATCTCTCAAAATGCACGACATGGGCTAGCCGCTAGCCATGGCTAGCCTCCGACGCCAGCTTCACCAGGTTTCCTTGGCCCTCCGCCTGGTCCTCAAGCCCTGGAGGCCGACCTCACGTGCCCCCACAAGCTGTAGGCTTTCCGGGTTTCCTACACGGAAGGGTTCCGGTCTCCGCAGAGTTCTCGTAGTCACTGAATCGTGGAAGCATCACGAAAGCCGTGTGAGCAGGTACTTGCGAAACATCAGCAAGTCATTGGTCGCTGCAGGCGTCACCGTACCAGCCTTATTCGTTGCATAGATGTCCAGCATGTCGATCCATGTGGAATTCTTCCAGAACGAAGCCTGCGGAAGTTGTGTTTCCACTAAATCTCCTGCGTTTGCTTGCAGACTCGGGTGCCCAAGACACCCCTCATGCCTTCATGTCCACTCGATATCAGGATCCTCCAGAGATCTGAGAAGGAGGCAGCTCCAGAGGCCTCGACTGCTTCGGCTGCCCTCCGCTACGCAATCACGGTTGGAAGTTGCATCGCAGCTGTCGATGCCTGTGGTTTTCAATGGGCAAGTCGATGCGCTGCCCATGGCAGAGGCCAACAGAGGTCACAAGCATTGAAGCCCATCCAAATGGGACAGCTCCGTGACTAACCATAGGGGCCCCCAAAAATGCTCTCTTCGCCTCTCCAGACGGCCGCCGACTTCAAATGTTTAATCATGCAAGATCATTTCGAGTTTTCGCTCAAAAATCTGAGCCTGCGAGCCTTCAAGCAGCGAGGCACGCGTCTGGAGCAAAAGCCGCGAAGTCGCAGGTTGCTGCTTTGTTTAGCTGTTGCACCACACCAAGCCTGTTTCAGGTGGACGAAGAGCAGGTCCGCCATGCCATGGCAGATCCAGAAATTCAACAGATCCTGCATGCCAGCGGCCCAGATTCTTGTGGTGATGCTGTCTGTTTGCAGATGTCACATGAAGATAGTTTCGTGAATCCGTGCCGTTGTGACAGGACCCTCAGATCAATATGTTCTTGAAGGAAATGCAGAGCAATCCGCAAGAAGCGCAGAAGCAGATGATGTCGGACGGCACGGTGTGTGAAGCTTCATTTGCTGCGTCCACGGAACCACTGTGAGACTGTCGCACTATGATCTCCCTTGCATCACATGGCCATGCCGTACCCCTAGGGACCTGTTCCGTCAGGACCCCAAGCTCCAAGAAGCGGTGTCCAAGCTCATAGCAGCGGGCATCATCCGCACCGGCTAGGCAATGCAGCCTGAGCAGACTTGAAGCAGGGTGAGCTATTCCTTAGGCTCGGTTGGCTTGACGGCTTTCGCTGTGTGCGATCAGAGAGAGGGTGGTTTGCGTGGAGAGAGGAGACCAGTGGACCGCATTTAGTCAGACGGCATCTCAAACTCGAAAAAGGCTCACCGTCGCCACGCAGCCGGTAAAACCTCCCCACATCAATTCCCCCCCTTCTGAGAGCCGCCAATCCTCTTCAGATGCCCCCCAGTTTATCCCAGTTTCGGGCTCCCTGTCAGCTGCCGGCTCTCGAGGGGACATGAGGAGAAGGAGTGAGCGAGGATGGAAACCGGAGGTACTCCGGAGGTGGAGGGGAGTCTGGTGTGTAGTGGGCACGTTGGGTAGACTTTCAATCGTCAACATCGCTGCACTTCCTGCCTCAGCTTTGCCAGGGCCTCGCATCGTTCCATGGCGCCACCGCGAGCCTCCCTGACAAAGCTAATTTCGTTTGTCGTTCATGTCATGCTCTCAACTGCTCGGTTCGAAAGCTGCACATCAGCACAATTAGACACGAAGGCTTACACAGGTATCCCGTTTGTGCAATACCGAAAATGCAGATCTGACTCTTCTACTGGCATGCTGGTTCAAGACCACGAGAGCATGGCGCGAAGATCTTGAACATGCAGAATTCCAGCTCGTGATGTAGTCAGCGCACGTTTTCTGGACGTTTTTGTGTTGGCTTGTGCACTTGAGCTGCAGTATTGCATTCAGTGAAGGGCACCCTGGAATCGGCTACATCACACGTATTCAGTCGGTTTCCTTAGTAGGGCGAGTCATCCGTGCGCCTGCCAAGCCTGAAGGTTTTTGCGAGGCAAACTCCCGAAATTGTGTTTGAAGGAGACGACATCCAAGGTCAGTAAATGGCAAATTGGCAGGCACACTCCTCACGCATCAAAGCCAGTCGTACAGTCTTTGTGATCATGGCTCTCCCGCAGTGAAGCCGCAGTGGCGGCTGATCTAAGTTTTGCTGAGCCCAGCACCTCAGCGGGGCTGGGTTGTTGCTTGATGGTGCAGCTTGAAAGCGTTCTGGTATCATGGACTCCTTTCCTTCAACTTGTGTTTAGACTTCCCGTGTGTGCAAATTGTTTGGTCCGTGCCTCACGAAAAACCTCAGCGGCTTTTCGACGGGCTTTTGAAGTTGAAAGACCAGAGACCACCAGTCCTGTTCGTGCACGACAGTGCCGACGCAAAAGAGACGTGGAAATGCAATGACTTGCTTTGGGTAGCAGACTAGGCCACGGTTTGGAACAGTTTCTCATTCTCGCGAAGGCATGACCGGTCACGGTTACATCTACAGACGTGAATAATCTGTATTGGCTCAGCTGCATGGGGCGAGCCGACACGGGCTGCGGAAGCCATGCTACGCTTCAAGGCCACATGCCCGTGCTGACCATCATCATGACAATCAGGCCACAGGTGCAAGGTCTGTTGGGTGGGGTTTCACCCCAAAAGTCGGTCGATCGTCCACACCTGGATACGGAATATGAGTGTGCCTGCCGTAACCCAACACCTGTACTCTCTACTACGTGAAGTGCTCCCCGTGAAATACAGGAGATCGAAGCGGTGCTGGCAAAAGCGCTAACTGAGCCTTGGCACAGCCGGATATTCAGCAACATGGCATACAACGGGGGTTTGGCACAGGACAGGACATGCCGAGGAGTGTATAGCATTCAGCACAGTTCCACTGAGAAGCCGCGTCACAACAGCTTTGCTGCTAGCATTCTAGATGCAGACAGCTGGAGATACGTCTCAGAAGCCCTGCTTGGTGCAGCCTGCAAGCGACGATTCAGCAATCCACTCAGGATGGTGTGACGCTGCTTGGCAAGGCATTCCATACACCTTCGAAGGTACAGTATGTTTGCGCAGCTCTGACCGACATTGAGAGTGTGCGTGCTTCACATCAGAGGAACATCATGATCACCGACGAGGGTGGTGGCGTCATTGCATCTGCCAGACCCAAGCAGGCAAGGATCCGCAGCGCCGTGGCAAACCCCAAAAACGATTGACCTGGTGAGGTTGAGAATTCTGGATTGGCGGTTATCTCAAGTGCCACCGGCTTGAAGCTGTAGAAGCACTAGTGCAAAAATGTCGCGACTGCCTGTCAAGCACGTCCCGCATTGTCAAAGAATGTCATACCTCCAAGGCCGTTGGTGAATTCAAATTGGCCGCTGAGTACATCTCTCCAGACATTCTCCCGACCTTTGAGGATACCGATTGCAGTTTGTGGCACCAGCTCTGCCAGCAGAACCGGTGCTGTCACCTCCTCATCTAACCTGCAGACTGCCAAAAAAATTGCCCCTAAACTGTGAGGATGCCTTGTTTACGTGCGACAATGCAATGGTGGCTTGCACAACGTTCCTGTGTCCCGGCTGCTGTTGTCTGACTCTCTGCCCTACCAGTCGGAAGTAAGTGAACTCCCCTTGGAAATGTCTCTGCTTGGAGCTGGAGTTTTGAGGTTCTCATGTAATCTGGGTGGGGACATTCCATCACAGCCTGGCACGGTTCGGCGTTGCTCTGCCGTGCTAACCTACTGAGTCTGGTTAGGTTGCCTCTGATCTGATCTGTTCTGCCGTCACCGTCATGATCGTCATCACCAGTATTCATGGTCGCCATTGTCGTCGTCGCGTCGTCGTCGTCGTCGTCGTCACCAGAACCGCCATCAAGATGACGGTCCTCGCGACGTGCCCTATCATTTAACCTGACCGATCTCGTTCTCGTCGTGCTCATCATTGTCCTCAGAAGCAGTCGGTATCGTTGTCATGTCCTGCCTGTCTTGCACTTCTTCCGAATACGTGCTGCACGACTCTGCTCAGCAGGACAGATCGTCAGATGTCAGTGTGAGCGATCAACTGAGGATGCCCCCTCCATCTGAGAACCGGACGGCCCCAGTCCTGCTGGTCGTTCCTGGGCTCCGACGTTTGTTGTGGCCGTTCTTGGGGGGGACAGATTTTCAGTGTGAGGAGGAGAAAGCTTCAGCTTTAGACCAAGAGCTCCAAGGTCTCAGGTGCCGTGTGCTTTGCAAACTCAACGGAAACCCGCCTCGGATCTTTTCACAGTCTCTAAGGGCCAGCATCAGGCAGTAAAGGAAAAGGCTAGAAAGCCCACCCTGAAATTTCCGAAGGCCCCGGTTAGGGCTGGGGAGACTTGTCCGCAGACGTCCGGTTCTTCGGTATCACAACCAAGGTTTGGAGCGAATCCCAGCAGAATCCGGCCTTGCTGTTCTCCAGACTAGAGATTCTGAAGCATCTTGGCAAAACAGTCTTTCAATTTTCAACCCGGCACCATCGTAAGATGATGGTGTCCGGGCACACGATCACCAGCTACATCTTGGGACCGAGGCAAGAGCTTGACTGCATCAAGCCCATTCTGAGCCACTCTTGTGGAAAGCCGTTCTGATGCTGTTGTGGTCAAGGTGCAGCGAGCACCCTTCCTGTCGGTCTATCTACTAAGCTATCTGTCTATGTAAATGTGGGTTTCCTTCGTACACTTTCGTACATTTTCATCCATTCATGGTATGCATATACACATATGCCTAATTACCGTTGCAGACATACCTGCCCTGCATACCTATTTTTCGTTTGTCCGCAATTCTGTCCTATGTAATACCCCGATCTATGCACGTGCAGAAACTCGATCATTGGCTCGGCGTTTACTTTTGTAAACATCGAGCATCGTGAATAGCTCATTAGTGGCACAATGGAAGTGCCACACAACAGCATCTTGAAGTCTCAAGCCTATACTAAGAAGCGCAACTTTTGCCAAAGCTGCTATGAAAATGACTCAAGCATTCAGGTTACTAGTAAAATAAAGACCATGCCGGCCGAAAGAAATTGGCCTGTTCAACTGCACGTTCGTTGATACGGCTGGAGGCATCATTGCTGTGCCATGCTGCGCCGCATAAAACGAGCGAGTCACTGCAAGGGACCGTACTGCATGTGCAAAAGGAGCAGCAGAGCTTATCGGGATGGACTTGCGGCCTTGTTGCTGCTCTGAAGTTGGTTCGAGCGAATGCATTCAACTCGTGGTTGTGTAGCGGCATAGCAGTCCAGCTCTCACAGCGTGCAGAAATGCTGCCGGACAGCATTCTGATACTTGTCACACGTCGGCGATCTGGCCGTCCACCCAAGCACCTGCAGCCATGCAAAGCGGTGGCACGAAAGAGACCAGCAGGACGGATATGCCACTCATTGCCACTTCTGTCAGAGGAGAGTCGTTTTTCTGCGCGGCTGTGCGCACTTCAAAACAAGCCCCTGGTCGCCGGAAGGCTCCTCATCACCTTTGCCCGAAAGGGCAGATGGGAGGGCGATGCTGGCATGAAGCAGCTCCTCGCAGAGGCGATGCCACCACTTGCTGAGTACAAAACTCATGCTCAGACGTGGCTGCAGGCTGTCAAAATGCACATCGATCTAGACTACTCTGAGAAGCCATACTTCCGGTCAGAGCCTCGCCTCCCGCAAGCCGTCACTATTCACAACGTGCAGTGCTTCACCCTGCTTCTCATTCACGATTTCTTTCTGAGCTGTCAGCACTGAGGTCCGCCTTGTGGGAGGCAACATGGAGAAATCACGAGGTGCTGTGGAGCAGGAGGGAAGAGAAATTTTACACGTTTTGCCAGAGGTGCAGTCTGGAGGTACAGGGGTGAGGGGGCTGGAGCGGGTGGGGGCGTAGGAGGGTGGGACTCGCAAAAAACAGCTGTAGTGCGCTTTGAACATTGATTCAGGAACTAGGCGTGCAGCTTCGAAGAGCAGTTTAGCAACCTGCGCAATCGATGAGAAGACAGTTTCGGAGCACGCGCTCTCTCTCCCTCTCTCTAGAGCCTCTTCCCCTCCACGAACTCGCGAGCCTTGGGAGGGCGATTAGATCGGAAAGACGGGTTTTGACATGTCTAACGGACTGCCGGCTGCTGTGCATGCGATCTCCGTCCAAGAGCCCTTGAGCTCCAGACTGGCTGAAAGTCTCGAAGCGGTGCTTCGCTGGTGCGCCTAGCCAGGTCATCGTCAAGGCCTTGGTGGAGAAAGGGGCCACCATCGATTTCAAGGACCCCGAAAGATCCGATGCAACATCTCCAAAGGCCAAGTGCCGTCAGAAACATCCCACCCTTCGCCAGAGAGGACTACCAGGAGCGGACGCCACTACACGAGGTCGGGGACGGAGACCGTGTTGGCCGGGCTGTAGCAGCCCGAAGAGAGACGCGAGAGAGAGAGAGAGAGAGAGAGAGCGAGAGAGAGGCGGCCTACTACGGCCACTTGAACCTGGTGGAGTACTTCATCGAGAAGTCTGGCCGACCTGCTTGCTGCCGCTTCTTATCCAACGCAGGCATGTGTTCACAATCGGCCGAGTGCTGCTGTAAGGGTATCTTCCCACCCGCTCACTTCCTTCAAGACCAGCGTCAGAAGCCAGGGGCGCTCCTATCAACGTCCTAGACAAGTTCGGACAAACCCCCTTGTTCAGAGCTGCCCGGCATCCCAGTTCTGATACTCTGCTATGCTCTTGCTGCAGGGCTCACTGCGGCTCCATCTGCAGATGCGAAGTATCATCTGTGTTCCGCCCGTGTACAGCCCAAGGTGGACGGCGGCCGGCATGAAGTTGCAAAGTTCTTGGTTGAAAAGAAGGCCGAGACCAATTGGCTGGCCGAGCACTCAGAAACTCAGCAGCTCTACTGCCGCAGTAGAGCTGACAGCTTCTCTGCCAAGTAAGCGGAACTGTACGCAGTTTGCCGGGGCTTTGTCAAAACTGGACACCACTCAATTATGCCCAAAGCCCTCAAGACTCTACCACAAGTTTAACAACCAAACACCACGTGCACATCCTGTCAGATACACACATATTATCACAGTAGCAATGGCAATAACAACAAAACCAGCACCTACACCAGACCCTGCGATGTTCGTCTTCTTTCCGGTCATGATCTACTTACAGGATCAAGGGACTTAGTACGTAAGCTGTTGAACTGTTATGACTCAGATGGCAATGCCAGTATCGTGCGCTGCCTGAAGCCGTTGGCCCAAGCAAGTCGGGAAAAGCCTTTGTGCTGGAGCTACTGCTGTTACCAGGCACTTCCGCTGCTGGGCGTATGCCCAACATTGGAATGGCCCCGACGCAGATCAGCAAATTCCTTGGGAGTCCTGGGCAAGTTACGTCGTCGGGGTCTTGCTCAGAAGGGCTCTGTGTCACTGGGAGCTAGACTCCAGACGATGTTTGAAGTCTCCATGGTGCAGGAAGTGGCCTCGCGCTGCTTCTTGCACCACGGGGAAGTCGGAGATGAAACGGATTTTGCAGGGTCGCAACCTGCCGGCAGATAGCCGATCATGCGAAATGTGTGGCATTTCGGGAGCTAGCTTCTCAAGAAGCTTGCCAGGCCTGCATGCCAGATCTCTGCTGGCACCAAGTAAGCCGTAGCACAAGGAGCTGAGTTACTGAGTTCACAAGGAGTTTGGCGGAAAACACCGCAGAGTCACAGCAGCTATAAAGAGAAACTGGAAAAGGCGCTCAAGGTTTGGATGTGTTGATGATCGCTGTGCAGCATGCGGACTGCCTGCGACTCAAAGGACAATGACCAGTGCTCCGTGCAGCACTGTGCAGCCTTTCAAGGCCTCATCGCTATGAGAAGCTAGGCAGCTAGACCTCTAATACTGTCTTGCTGAGTTCCATCCGCTGACAGGTTTCCCTCAGCTTTCCAGCTGGTTGGTCTACAAAGGAGCTTGGAGGCCGGGACTGCAACGTCTCGTCAGCCACATTGAAGAGGCGGGTAATCACTGCGATATTTCTGGCAAAAGGGGTTTTGGCAATAATCTCTCGGCGCTTGAGCTGCGACACACGTGGCGGGAAAGCGTGCCTCACGTCATGACATGCGGCGCAGAAGGGTGTGAATGAAATATTGAAGTGAGACCCTCAATGACTTAGTCTGGATGGTGTTTTTTTGCCCGGGGTAACGCGCGTCTCGTGCGCCGTCACTTTAAGGGTGGATCGGGCAGCTCGACTGACAGGGACTGCATATGCCCCATGCCCAAAGCAATGCAAAGCAAAGGCAGAGGGAGACGGGGGGATGAGTAAGGCACTGCCAGTGCCTTTTGCCCCAAGACACATGAAGTGTGCTGGAGAGGGCTTGTCAAAGAGCATCCGGGCCCTTTCATGGGCTGGCAGACCTCGAAAACCAACCGAGAACCCACCGCTACTTGTCCCCTCTAGTATAGTTGGTTCGTATCGCCTTGTGCGGAAGTGTAAAGCCAGACAAACGTGGCAAGTCTCGGCAAGGCCCCGCAGAGGTGAGTTTGGGGTCTTAAGTGGAGTCAGCGCCGCAGAGGGGGGCTCAGACCCACAGTGTCAGAGGAGAAGAGGAAAGCAAGGGTCAAGAGAACTAAGCCTGCTAGTCTGTCAACTCTCGTAACTGCAGGAATCGCTTTGCCATCGAAGGGGTGGATGAGGCCGGCTTCCTTTCAAAGCATGCAACATTTCCCAGATTTTTGGAAGAGCTACGGTCGGAGCTCTCAGCTCTTGAGTCCCCCTGAAGAGTCCCGAGATTGAGCCATGACCAGCTCATAGAAAGCCCTCGGCATCTGCTCGGGAGCATCAGCCACAGAACCCAGCTAGACAGCACCTGGGAAAGGCAGAGATGCGCTTCACGGCTCGGGCCTGAGGCGACTCCCCAAGCCGCTCCAGGCTCTACCCGCAAGACCTGTGTTTCTTTTGAAGCCTTCACCCACTTCTTAGGGCCCCGGGGATGGCGAGCGCTCAGAGGAGCGTCAGAGGCGCCAGAGAGTTGAGGGGCCATGTTGCGAGCTTCGGACTTCAAGAACAGAGCTCCCTCAACCTGTGCAAGGATGTGCAATTGGGGCAGGGGTCGTAGGCTCGTTTCAATTCCCTTTGTGCTCATATCGGCGGCATGGCAATGCGCACGGTGTCATTGGAGACTACGGTGTGCTGCGTCAACAGGGCAATTGATATATAACCCACCAGCTCGCGATCGCTAGGTCCTAGTTGCCTTCGCGCCTGCTGCAAGGACCGATGCAGCCCTCGATGAGAAGGAATAGGCACCCAGAAGCAGTCTTCCAGTGTTGGCAGCTTAACATAATTAGATAACTTTGCGTCGAGTTGGCGAAGTTCGGATGCGCGCAAAATCAGCTGCAGATCGCACTCCATTATCGGATGAATCGGGCGCACCGACCGGCTTTGTTTCACTCAGATGTCTTGCATCGACACATCCGCAAGATACACGGCAAGTACTGTAGGCGTTGAACACAATCTGCCATAAACGATAGGCGGCTGTAAGATAGCTCAGTAGCTCTGCAAAACTGCGGAGTAGACAACTCGGGCTCCGGATTGCGGTGGGACGGAAACGTTCCCGGCCGTCCCGACATTAGTTTTAGAGTGCAGGGAAGGAGGAGGCTATTGATTCCTTCACATCCGGCCCCCTAACAGAACGAGTCATGATGCGCTCTCTGCTTCCCTAGCGATGCCGATTGCTGGCGAACTGAGCCACATTGGCGTCATGAGAGATTCGAAAAGGAGCGGATCCTGTCTGGCGGCTACCTTAGCTTCGCCGGTCGCGTTGAGCTAGGCAAGACCGTGTGACGGCGCGTGTGCGTGTGTGTGTGTGTGTGTATGTGTCCAGCCCTGTTTCGAAGGGTCTGTTTTGCACCAGAGACCGGCACTAACAAAGACGCTCATCAGATCCCTGTGAAGCAGCGGAGGACGCTCCGCTGTGTACCTGCTATTTGTGACCTCATCCATCGTTCAAGCTGTGCACTGTTTCTGCATTGACATCGTTGCAGTGCATTGGTGATTATAGACAGTTATAGAGCATGTCAGTTTGAGCTGCTGAGTACTTGCAAGGGTTGATTTGCAATGATGTGCATGTGTTCTAGGTTCAAGGCTGCGTCAATTTTCGTTCACTGAACTCCTTGGTGCTGCGTGTCCGACTGCAGATTTATGATGTGAATGTGAGGTTTTAGGTCTAAGGCTGATTCTCGACACTCACTGATTTTCCTTGACTTTGAGTAGCACACATGACTTTCAAGACCGATTTGAGGCCTGCGACACATTGTGTCAAGTTTCTGCGTGTGTGTGTGTGTGCGCGCTCAAGTTTGTGCTTGGTAGCCGATAGCTTTGTTTCTTTAGAACGGCCCAAGACTCAAGACATGATATCCCACGGTGAAAGGAGTAATGTCTATGTCATCGACCCAAGACTGCAAGACTCAAGCATCAGTTCCCAGCCGGCGAGGGGCTGTTGGATGCGAGATGGCTCAGGTGACGAGGCCAGGAGCCAGGGCCTTTTTTCTGCCGGAACTTTCGAAGGCGCCTGCCTTTTCCTCTTTCCAGGAGCGAGGCCTGGCGGCCATGGCCTCCCGGGCCTCCCACCACGCTCACTGGACCGCCACAGACGCTCAGAGCTCCGTGTCCTCCATCGACGGTGCGCCCGCGGCCTCCGCCTCCGCCCGGCACCGTGCGGCCAGCCCCTTCAAGGAGCCGGCAGCGCTAACATGGCAGCTAATCAGGCACTCACATTCTCGCACGATCTCACCTTCACTTTGAGGACCATTGTTTCAAAGACCCGGGCCTCAAATCCACGGCAAGCTGGCACGACCACCATGAAGTGGTGCGCTTGTTGATCTGTGCCATGGGAATTCAGGGTGCGGAAGGTAATGCAACGCATTGCGCCAGCCCCCTCATCCGGCACCGCGGCACCGGGTAGGTATGCTGGCCGTGAGAAGCATCCAAGTGCAGGGTACACCTGTCCGGAGCCTCGAGTTTGGTGCCAAAGCGCTTTCAACGAAGGATAGACTTTGTGCATTTTGTTTTCGGCCCTGCACCAAGTCGACGCCCAGAACCTCAGCGAAGAGGAGCGCCTGGAAAAGCAGCTGCAGCTCGAGGCCTCCGGCAGAGAATGCATAGCGTTTCTGATGGAGGAGCAGGCTGAGGGCTGAGCAGTGCAGGCGGAGTGCAACGGTGTGGAGTCTGGCGGCTATGTGGCTGCAGAGGCTGTGGCGAAAATGCGAGTGTCGAAAGGGAGGCGGCCGACTGCAGGCTCTGAATGAGCATCCTAGTGCTCTTCCAGGCTTTGATCGCAGGCCATGGCTCCCAGACAATCTACTCCTCCCAGCTGCAATGCCCTCAGGCTCTGGTCCGCAGACCCCTTCTATGCTTGGAGAACTCAGGAGGCCATCAGTGAAATTGCTAGTCAATGCTCAGCCGTGGAAGCCGAGAACGTCCCAAGTTGTGTCGAAGCGCAGTGCTGGATTGGACCGCGCTGACAAACGTGAACCTGTCAGGAGTTGTGCGACGAGTCCGTAACGCCCGGTTCTCGGCAAAGCACTGACTGCCTGTATCCTCAAGCCGAACTCCCTTCAGGGGTCCATGCCAATGAGACAAACAAAGCATGAGGCCTGTGCCCCACCTCCAGCGGGATAATTGCCGGCCTGGCCACCAGGATGGGAAAGCAGAGCACGTAGCGACGTAGAGTACTCCTTTGTGTGTTTGCAACAACCTCAGAGCGGGAATTCGTTGCAAAGTCTTCTTGAGGAGGCAGCACAGCCTTCTCCCGACATGATAGCGCGGCCAAAGGAGCTGACCCAGGTCCAGGCGCTCGGAGCGATGCTGAAAGTGCTAGGGAAATTCGGACCTCAAACAGACATGCATTCAAAGCTGCAGAATCATCAGCACAGTGCAGTCCTCAGGAGCCAGATTCCTGGTTGCATTGGCCCCTTGGCCGTGAACACGCGCGTATGCCGCACCTTCCATGCACTTGAGATTGCAGCGAGGTTCCAGGCCAGGAAGCAACCGCCTCCAGCCCCACCTCAACCTCGGCCATCGGCGCCGCTGCCTAGCTCGGCCTCCATGGCGCCGCGCTGGGACAAGGAGAAGGCACCGGACTGTGGAAAACTTGCGACGGCCATGGAACCTGCCCAGACACCGCCTCTTTGGCCTTCATAGGATGCAGAGTATTGCAGAGTCCAAGAGTCCTAAGATTCTAAGATGCCTTGCTCTCACAGCCAAGGCTTCTGCCGGAGCCGTCGCCTGCCGAGCTGCGCGAGCGTCTGGAACCCGTGTCAGGGCTGCAACGACGTGTCAAGTGCGCCCACACCTCTCGGAGAGAGGCCGTTTCCATCGAGCTCAGGAGCTCGTTGCCGCTGGCCTCTCTTGGGATGAGGCCAATATCATGAGGTTCTCCCCGCCTGAGAGCGCATCAGTCCGTGCGTAACAGAAGGTGGACGAGCACCTATGGTCAGAGACAGGGCTGCAGCCATGCCAATCCTCTGGATGACGTGCACTTGCACGGTTAACAAACATGCAGAACTTTGAGCAGACTGACCCCCTTGTTTCAATTTCTATAGTTATTTGGAGTTGCATGTGATGTGCAACTCGCATGCGTCCAATCAAAGATGGCGGAAGCAGCTACAGTAGAGTTAGCACCAGTAGCGCAGTACTTCGGCTGCCGGTGCGCGAGAGATCTTGACACGGCGAGCGGAATTGTTGCATGGAATCTCTCTTCAAGCCACACCACCGCTGCGTTTGCTGAAGCGCGCTTCGCGGTTTCCAAGGAGCTGCGCTCTGTTGGAGAGCTTCGGCCCCGACACTCGGAAGACCTCGGAAGTTCAGTGCTGGTCCCTAGGAGCTGTAGAGCGTGGATGCTTCGCAGAGCTTGTTCGGAGCGTTCTTCGCCATTTCGGAACTGGCAGAAGCACCAGGCGAGCTGCAGCATACCCCCACACCTTCCCTCGATGCTTGTCTGCAGAATCAGCCCAGCAACACGATGGGAGCGCTTGGCGCAGTTGGGAATCAGGACGCTTGGCTGCTTTGTGCGCTCCGTTGGGACGTCGAATGGCTGCTGCCGAGGCCTTCTTTCCACAGCAGTCCCGCAAACGAAGCTTACACCGCGCCCGGCCGTGTTTTTGCGTGCAAACAAAAGTTCCTGAACAAGCAAACCTTGTTGCACGAAAGCATACTTGCTGTTCGAGGCAAAGCAGTTTGGCCATGTCCGAAGCCCTTTTCGTCGTCCAGTAGTAAGTGATCGACAGCCTTTTGCGTAGCTGTCAGCTGGCAAGCCTGAGCAGGACCACGGCCCATTTTTACGGTCAAAGCTCTTGTCTTGGACAGCAGCCCCCCTCCTCCTCAAACAAAGGTCGACAAAATCGAGCGAGCGGTTTTGGACGAATGAACATGTTCTGGTGAAGTGAATGAGGCCGACTGTGGCCAAACAAGGGCTTCCGGACAGATTCCTTCCAAGCAAGGTTTGGGCCGGGCGGAGCTCCAGCTTCTGTCAGCGAAAGGTTTTGAAAATAGTCCCCTCGCCGAGTTGAATTTGGGAAACTGATTGCTTTTGGTCAGAGAAAGAGTGTTCTGGATCGTGCCTTGTTCTCTGTTCATGCGCTTTTGAACACTTCAGTCCGGTCATGGCAAGATACAGTGGCCCCGTGATGCCGAAAGCAAGACAATGCTGCAAGTTGCGAACTGTGCCTGCAGAATGCTGTAGACGTAGCTCCCCGGGTTGGGACGAGGCAACGATGCCTTCGATTCTTTTGATGTCGGGTCGCACCACAATGCAAGCACATCCCGAGTGCGCAACCCCCACCGCCCATTCCAGTCATGCTGCATGCTGTTGATTCAAGAGGCCGTTATGCCGGCAGCCGCTTGCACGCGGTGTTGGGGATATCTCCTCCGTCTGGGATCATGCTCGGAGAGAGAGCTGTCGCCTAAATTCTTCTTGTCCCTGCAGGTGCGGAGCTTCCTCGAGCCTGAGCTTCTGGGCAGAGGAGCCGTGATAACTCCAAGATTTCCGTAAGTGCGTCTCTGTGCGCGTTCAACGTCGCGGCTTGCTGGCTTTTCTATGCTTTTCTTTCCAGATCACAACTCGTTGTTGCACTTTTCCAAGGTTGGCCAAGCACTGCATCAGCTGGCAGGCTGGGCGGCTGGTGCAGCCGGTGCTGAAGCTGTCTCCATGTCTCTGTGTCGTCATGTCTTGCCGGAAGCAGAAACGACAACAAGTCGGTCGTCAGAATTCAAAGAAACTGCAAGAGAGGCGTCGGAAACATGCATGGGTCCATGAGATCAGACCCGCCGTATTCACGTGATCATATGCAGAACTCCGGCGGCCGCTGCAGCAGCAGTTTGCAAACTCGTGTGACACTTTTGTCATGGCTGGGTGGTGTAGTCGATTTCCTGTGAAGCATGGCACAGCATCAAGCAATTAAGATTGGAACTTGTGTTGCGATTGACCTGAAGACAACTGACTATTCCTATCATCGCAATTAGCAGAATTAGCAGTCGGCTTAACAGCTCTGAGCTTCTAGGACTTCGTTGGTGGTGCACAGCCGCCACTGGATGACATCAGCCCCGTGCGCAGCCCGGAGAAACAAAGCCACTACCTTGTTGGTGTGCAGTAGGGTTGGTTCCGTCATCGCGTGACGCTTGCCCCGTATTGCTCCACCCGGCGCCCTTCGGAGCCCTTCCACTGGTTGCTACAGTCGCCCAGGCACTCTGCAACAGCCACACACACACTCCTTCTTTTTGGGACGTGAGCATCATGTGCATTGATCTAAAGGTCTTTGTCTTCGACGTATGTCAAACAACCTCAAGATGCAAAGCTATGTTTCCGCGAAATATTCGCGATCAGTCCGCGAAGGAAAACAAACTCATCACAATTTGAAGTACATCTTAAGACAAGACTTGTAAAGAAAATGTTGGCATTCCGCAGCCATACAGGTCCCGACCTCTTCCTTGCTTTGCGGCCCGGAAAGGGGTAGGAGCAGGCCAAGCCAAACTTGTGAGCACGTCTTGCCTAAGACAGGTACGGTGGCAAAATCGCCCTCAGCGTGAGAGTGTGCCAGTTTTAGGGAAATCGCAGGTTTCGCCGATTGTGAGCGCGAAAGTCTCGCGAAAGGAAGTAACAATTCTGCGAAGAAAAAGGAGGAATAGTGATCAAGACTCACATGTTGAGAAACGCACAAACATGTCAAGGCCAAAAACATTTGGCCAAATCAAAGGACTTCTCAACAGCAGTTGATTACAACTTCTGCAGATACATGAGTTGAGCGTCCCCAACACATCAAGACCAACACAGCGGCCTTTTCGTTGAGATGTCCTTGTGTGGGAATACAGCCCGCCTGATGACAGATGGAGTCACCATGCTTTTGCAGAAACAGACGCAAACAGACAGACAGAGACACACACACACACGCGCACACACACACACACACCCGGAGGGAGAGTTATAGACACAGACACAGCCTGAATAACTTTGCAGCAAACTACCCCTAGCGCCTTTGTGCTGAGGCGGACCTCGAAGGCTGTCCACGGCAGCCACACGTCCTCGTTGAACGCTTAGCCCTGACTGCAGTTAGGTTCCAAGCCTAAGCAAAGAGCACCAGATGTATCCGAAGCTTTCGAAGCAGCATCCCAAGGCTCGGCGGGTCGCCGCGGCTCTGCGGCCTCACGAACCCGTAGAGGCAAGCGAGCATGGTTGAAACACCCACATCCAAAAGTGGCTGCGGAGTAGCGGTCTCTCTGTGCATTGATTCAAGGCTCCACAGCCAAGCCTGAGCCTGGCGGATCCACAAGAGGCCACAAGCCAAAGCGTGCCGCGGCATCTGACGTTGCCCGGCCTCATGCTCAGGCCCACTACGTAGCCTCGAGCTTGCCTCCTACGGAGCCTGCACCGCTGCTGGACGTTGGCGAACGAGACATCGATCGACAAGGTGGGCTGGGAACGGAGCAATGACCAGAGTGGAGCGACGGGAAAGAGACAGGACAGGCCAGTTGCTTGCAGGACCTCAAGAATTGCCGGACAAAGCGCCGGCGAACAGGAGCGGCTGGGGTACAGCTGTTAGTGAGTGCTACAACGAAGTGCAGGAGCAGTTCCAAAGAAGCACTGCCAAGTGAGGACGGGACATGGAGACAGCGATGCTTTCTTGCAGGCTAAGAGGCGATTCTGAAACGTTTGCTGATTTTTGTCGAGCAGGAGGCGCAAAGGTCCAAGAAGGAGAAGCGGCGGGAAAAGAAGGACAAGAAGGCATGGGCGTGGGCGGCGTGTCGTTGCAAGCAGCTTCAGAGTATGTTCAGTACAGATTGTGCTCTCAACCTCGGCGTGTTCTGCGAAGTGTAGGCAGTCAACGAGTCAACCTTGGTGTCAGGACAAAAAGGGCAAAGGCGAAGATGGCTGTGTTGCCATGTGAAATGAACAACGGTGCAGCATAGTCTTAGTCATTCGTAGTCCTTCCAGGAGCAATCCTGGTCCTGATAGAACTGACAGGTAGGCCACGGTCACTTGATTCGAAACGGTTGCACGTATGCCCGGGACGATTCTGTGGCAAGTGGAAACTCAAGCTGAGAATTGCGAGGTGGCATTCCATACTCCAGGCGAGGTGTTTGATTTCGAGCTGAATTTAGCCACAATCTCGCAGCCGTGAAGTAGCTCAAGCCGGGCTCGGGAGAAATGCCGCTCGGGCTCAAGTACAACACTCTCTCCAGGACAGAAGAAACGTCCATCAAGTCTGCTTCCTGGCAAGACACGAACCCGGAGTGTCCTTTGAGGAGTAGCCCATGCATCGTGGCTGCGCACAGCAGCAGCCTCGGCGTTCTGGTTAAGGTCGGGGACGGGCTGACGCGACTCAGACATCAGATTCCGATACAAGTAGCAGAGTTCCGCGGCTGAAGAGGCCTTCGAATTCATGTTTCTCTTCACTTCACTGCATTGCGTCTGCCCGAAAACACCGAAAGTAGCTCAAAGCGGATGGCCTACTCATGTATAGCCCAAGGGCATATAGGGCATAGGCTAGATGGGAGCTGCCACACCGCACAGCTTCAGCTGCTTCTCGTTTTGTCCTTGTTGGCTGAGATCTCCGCGATTGGAGTCTGAAGTCTTTGCCTCGGAGCAGGGCGGTCACCAAGTGCGCAAGCGCGCCCGTGCCAGCCACTGCCCGTTGGAGTACTGAGTATTCTTATGGTTCATGACCAATCAGCAGCATCTTCGTCTGTCTCGTGTGCAAGTGTTGGGTGCTATCTGATTCACTGATGTGCTATCATCGCACTGTCTTTTGTGCGACACATCCAGAGTTTAGAGACGACTGTCGTAGCTGCCCTGCCCCGACCACTTCCGACCCTCCGGTCCTCAGTCGTCATCGCTTGGTTCCTGAGCAGACCGCCAGCTCACCGGTGCCTCGGCGGCCTTTCGCCCACGTTCTATGTTCACTGAGCTTGCCCGTTGAGCGAATCGCAACTAACGAGATGAGTCAGCTGAGGACTTCTCACACCTGGACCGCATTGACCTCATCGGAGGAAATGGCAGGCGCATTGCCCGATTTCGTGCGTGAAGAGGCTCATCGACCAAGAGTCCCGAGCGATGAAACTGCTGCTAAGGTGGCGCCAGATACGGGCAGAAGAGGAGTTTGCACGGCGAGCAGTAGAAGAAGAGAAGCAGCCCGGCTCCATATTCTATGGGAAGTTTTTGGCACCATTGTGGCAGCGCCTCGTTCACACCGGGGCCTAGCGAGTCACGAATCCGACACCAGACCTCAACTTTAACTCAAGGCGTCTCCGAGCGCAGCAGGAGGAGGAGGAGAAGAGGCAAAATTGCTGCAGAAGTCTTGGAAAGCTCCGAGATGTGCAACATATATAACATATCTAATCATATCTACAAAAGCCGCGGGCCGCGGATTCGCAGTAGGACGGAGAGAGGGAGAGTGAAAGAGAGAGTGGCTTCGCGCTCGGCCCCTGCAGGCGCCAGCGGAAGCTCGCCCTTCAGGCGAAACGCCGGCGTCTCCAGGAAGAGGCGCAGCGCGGCCCGAGCAGCCCGTGGCTCTGCGCGTCCGGCTATGCGATCGGTCCAGGAAGAGAGGAGACGGAAAGAAGAGCGTGAACGCCAGCGTTGGGTGCTCAGCCTGTCGTCTCCAGTGCATGGGAGGGGAGGTGCGATCTGGTGCGATCTGCGAGCAGCTCACGACCCGTGAAGTGCTGAGATCAAGAGACGGTCCGGATCGAGGAGCTAAAAAGGATCGAGGAGGAGCGTGAGAGGCCCGAGCGTCCCTGTATACTTTCGTGCTGACCGAGAGCGGTTGTGACGGTGCTCAGTCTCCGATCCTGCCGAACAGGCACCGCAAAGAGCAGGAGGACAGCCAGTGCCATCAACACAGTCTACATGACATGTAAGAACTTGTGCGTAGTCTTGTCATGGCAGCCATGATTACTTCTCGTGAAGCTACACAGAAAGAAAGTGCCTAGTCCAGATTTGATTAGATAGGCTTGCAACAGACACGAGCACCGAGGGATTTATCATGTGTCGCGTAGCAGGAGAAGGATTGGCTGGCCAGACAGCCAAAGCCATGCCAGGTTTGCTCAGGCACCTGGACTTGCAAGCGCATCATGTCATAACTAGAGATACAGAGAGCCACTTCCTGGGTCAGGCACCGGGAAATGCATACAATGCGTGGGCATCGGGCACAATCCCGTGCTATACCTGGCGGCCTGAAGCCAAGCCTACCTTTCCACACAAGTCTCAAATCTTTTGACCTGGGCGCAGGCTAATGTCAACGGGAAAAACACGAAGGGAGACTATGGCAGGCGACTACAAGGCCGTTGAATCTGCAAAGTTGTTGTTGGACTTGCGACAGACGGCAGTTGTTCAAAATTTGTAAGGTGCGTAGTAGCCAAGCCTGGGGGTGCATCACTACCCGCGTATTAAACATGATACAGCATCTGCTGCCGAGAATTCTCGTGTTTCGCCTTCTGATCGTTGGGAGGCTGTGATGGCTGCTTCGGTTTCAAGCAGAACATGATGGCTGATCTGAAGAAGGGCACTGGTCGCTGTCCAAGCTGCGATGGTGCGGTCCCTAATTCTGGGCGCTTCGTCGCAAACGTCGTCTTGTGCGGTTGATTGGTTGGATATCCGTGCTCCATTGCGGAAACCTCACCTTCGCTCCCAACCTCTGAGTCGAACAAACTAGCAGAATGCTAGTAAAAGTGGTTTGCGCAGGTTTCCCTGAGGGCACGCAGAACTTCGGAGTTCTTGACTTTACCCTGGAAGACTGCTAGCCACAGGCTGGGGCAAGATCAGACCAGACATAGACCTCACCTCGCCGACCGTCGTCGCCTCGGAGTGAAGATTTTCCCAGCGTCGTCATAGAGCTCGAGATCATGACTGAGGGCCGAACGAAAAGGAACAGCGTCTGTGCTGCACCAACCGGATCGGAGCTTATTTGTATATGAATACGTGTGAGCTTTGCTGCTGTCGACCTTGCCCTGACAGCGTCGTCAAAATGCCGGTCCGATGCGAGGCTTTTTCTCTGTCGGCTGAGCAAAAATCTCAAGCGAACCAGGCAGCCAGCCGTGCAGCAACGCACCGTCTACTGTTTGTTCCGCACACAAACGTAGTAAGACGTAGTAGTCCTAGGTGTAATCGGGCAATTTGCAAAGCGAGGCCTTGTGATTCTAGATTCTAGAAGCTCCAAAATGCAGGCTCGGATACTTTCGAGATGTCACAGACCTTGTTCTCACGTGTGCCCAAAGGGCCGTTTCACCGATGGAGCAGCCAGTGCTGAAGTGCGTTGTGGCCCATGAAACTGGACCCGAACCTTGCTGACAGCGAAGGGCGGCTCCTCGAAACGATACTGCTTGCGAAGCGCTCAAGTTTAGATGCTGCACTATCCATGCCTGCACATGTAAGTTGCTGATGCATCAGGCTTTGGTAGTGGACGTCGGGCAACTCAGTCATGCCGGACCGCCATAGATGGCCCAAGCAATGTAGCCCGCACGGCATGAGGGCAATAGCAAACGATATCGATGCGATGGGAAGGGTTCACGGCGCCCTGCATGCGTAGTTTGCAGATGGGAGACGAGGATCCAACGAAGATGCCGAAAATCAAAAGCAAGCGTACTGTAGGGACAGTGCCAGCCACATGTACCCACAATCTGTAAGGTTTGCGTAGCTAGTGCAACAACGTCTTCTCGTGCAAGTAGCAGGCAGTAGCTGGAGCTATGCTTCTTCCCGGTCCGACTCACGTTGCCCGTCCGGTGCCCGTGATCTTGCGAAGGCTAGTCCCAGAACAGCCGGGATTTTGATCATGTGGCTTCTCTCGTGACGCAATGGCTCGTTCACCAACATATTAGTGTGTCAATGTGCCAGAGGCGGCTCAAGCAAAGCCAGCCTACTGCGTAGAAGTGGTCAGCGGAAGAGGCACTTACCGACACAATGCACCATTCCTAACAGCCACAAAAAACATGCTCACAATCATGTGCAGTGCAATGTAGCAAAAATCGTATCAGAGCCAAGCTCAACCCTTCAGGCCTTGTGCACTTAACGGACATTGAGTGTGAAAGTGATCCTCCTTCGAGCATGGCTGCCGGGTCGCACGACCTCGCACTGCTGCGAAAAGTGGTCGTCGAGGTGGTTGAGAAGGTCGGTCTTACATGGGTCTTACAGTCTGCGGGAGCTTGGCAACGACACGGACAATTAAAACCAAACTTGTTCCAAAGTGGTACGCGCTCTCTGTTGTAGTCGTAGAGCAGTTGAGCGCGGTTTCTTGCGGTGGTGTGCCACACTAGTTGCATACACGAGTCTTTACTGCAGCTGTCCTCTGCGGGAAGTCTCCTTGTCTTGCGCTTTCGTTGGACCGTTGGACCTTCCTCTCACGAGGCCTGCCACCTTACATCGGAGATCCAGAAGAATATTCTGCATGAGGAGGTCCTGAAAAAGGAAGACTTCTCACCAGCTCCTTGACTCGACAGGTGTTGGAGCCAACTCAGCCCGGGTGCAGCCACATGACATGGCTACGACAGCTTAGCTAAGCAGAAGGTGTGGCAATTTCGCCACTGCAGGTGAACTTGAGCACTAAACTTGGCATTCGCGCTCCCCGTATCGACAGGTCACCATTGCAGATTTTGCTTCCCAAGCTCTCGTCGGGCACATCCTTCATCAAGCCTATCCGCATATCCCCATGGTTGGCGAGGAGGAGCGCCTGGCGGAGCTTTTGCAATGTCCCGTAGTGGCGTAGCGCCTGCAATTCGAGGACGCCTCGGCTCTTCGTGCCGACCCGAAGCTAGCGACAAAGGCGAGTCACATGTCACGGATCCTAGCGGTTTCAGAAGTTCCACACAGTGCAGAGGGTCATTCTATAACACACACTTGGAAGAGTGACAAGAGCGAAGTGTTTGTGACGTAAATGTACACAGACATGGCACAAAAAAAGTCGTGCAAGCCTGATCGTTTGAAGGTGTCAGACCACGTGAAAGAGTTCATTGCAGACATCTCCTTGGAAGAGGTCCTTGGTGCCCTTGACCGTGGAAATCATCCAGGGGGTGAAGGTACCTTTTGGGTATTGGATCCCATTGATGGCACAAAGGGCTTCTTGAGGAAAGAGCAGTTTGCAGTTTGTCTGTGCCTTATAGAGAACGGTCAAGTCCTGGTGGCAGCTCTGGGCTGTCCTAACCTTCCAGTAGACTCAGCCTTGCCAGACGGTGAGAAGGGCTGCGTTTTCATTGGGGTTAAGGGCCAAGGAGCGTCCCAGATGAACCTTGCTACCAAAAAGGAGTTCCCCATCTGCGTGTCCAGTAGCTCGGACGCGTCGAAGGCGACGTATGTGGAATCGCTTGAGTCCGGGCACTCCAGCCACGGACGTCACGCCGAAATTGCCAGTGCTCTTGGGATGGGGGCACCTCTTCGTATGGACAGCCAGTGCAAGTTTGGCGTGGTGGCCAGAGGGCAGGCGAGTCTTTATCTGCGCATTTCGAAGACACCGCATTACATTTGGGACATTGCCGCTGGCGCCATGATTGTCGAAGAGGCAGGTGGCCGTGTGACGGACTTGACCGGCCGGGCCCTACAGTTCTCCCTCGGAAGGACGGTGGGAGTGGCAGCTCTCTTTGCCAGCAACGGTCTAATCCATGACCAGGTCTTAGCCGCCTGCGCACCGGCAGAAGACTCTAGCCACTCGTGCTTCGTCTAAAAGTTTAATTCATGCATGCATGTCATCTTTTTGCAGATCAGAAAACGGTGCAGGCGACCGAACATCATCAAACAAACTGCTTGTAGACATATGTCTAGTTTTATTATTTGAGCCCATACACTTCCACCGCCTGTAGCCAGGTAGATCCAAGATTAGGCCACATTGACTTGGGAGTTGTCTGCACCGCGGAACGTTTTGAACCATGGCATTTCGACTTCACAAGCTCGGCCCGGGTGATCAACGCCACTAGATCCAGGCATGCATCGCACAAAGTTGCTCTGGCGCTAGTTTTTCAAGGGGGATCACATCGCATCCGCTGCTCTGCGCAAGTGGCGGAGGCGACATGCGGAATACTCTATCTATAGCTAAACTATTTCACCAGTCAGTCTTTGCTCCGGGCCTTGATCCCTCCGTCTCCCCGGCCGTGCTGTGGTTGTCACAGGACTTCCCATGGCTTGTTACCTGGATCCCCAAGGCATTCAATCATGGTCAGTCCACAGGATCGTGATTCATAGTACATCACTCCAGCTCAGATGCGTTTGATAGCAGAGATCAAGCCAGCCTTTGTTGGTAGATGACGCGCGCTTGATGCACCAGACGCCCGCCCAGTCGGTCAGGAAGCGCCGATTGCAGTGAATGTAATGTGATGTCGTTGCTAGGATTCTGGATGATGGATCCAGGGTCCAGCAAAGCTTGAGGCTGACTGGAACGGGGCACCAGACAGAAATAACACTTTAGGGTCTCACACCGCCTACAAAAAGGAGTCGAGTTGATTCCGTGATGTTCCTTTTCTTGCCATATCTTTGTATGTACCTTGCCAGAAGCTCGGCAGGCTCCAACACTTCCGGTCGCTGCCCCTGGTGCTGCCACTGACTTCCGGCCCGAGGGTAAGGGAATCGAACACCCTTTTTATGGAAGCTATGATACCGATTTCAGGGTGACATCCTCATCTGGCGTCTAAATGGGTGAGGGGACTTCTCAGCTTGTGCATCCGCATTCCGTATACCGACTCTAATGCAATGTCCAGCGCGGGCGAAGTGAGGCATTCCAGCCAGTGCAGAGGTGTTGTCTGCACGCCCGTCCTGCATGCCACAGCAAGCACATCAGTCCAGCCCGGAGAACACGTTGATTTCACCTGCCGTTTCGAGCTTGTCGCCTGGCACCTCAGCCCCCACCCCTCACACCTCATGTCCAAATTCTTTTGGCTCCAATCTCGAAAACCCTGTTCAGCCCATGTTAGGCAAGTTAAGCAGCTTCAAACTACAGTTTATGTCGGGGGCTCGCACCCACAACAGCTACACGACGAGTGGAATCGCTTGACATTTCCCCTTCTACAGTACTTCAGTCTACAAGACTCCCGCGCCTGCCGGAGCTTTCTGACCAGTCGGTGCCAAGGGCTTGAGCCTTAACTTTAAGCCCCAAACACGGAGTTGGAAGGACTGGCAGTTGCAGCGCGTGCATCAGCGGTGCTGCGCCGTGCCAGGTCGAGCAAGGGGTTGCGATTGTGCCATTTGTGGTCTTGCGGAGAGGATGTGCATGGCCAGGAACACTGGTAGATACCTCAACGTCAATGACGGTGTTGCGGGCTGCTGCGAGCTTTGCAGCCAGCAGCCCTGAAGTTTCAAGACTGAGTCTGGTGTCAATGAAGTCTGTCTGAGCCTGAGGCCTGGACCGGGACCTGACAATCCATCACCTCATCCCAAAGGTGCATTGGAAGCATGGAGCCTATGGGGCCTTGGGGCCTCAAACGTCCTGCTTGTCAAGATGCTGCAGCCACGCTTTCTGTTTGTGTCAGCAAGGCGGATGAAGAAGCGACGACAAGTCTCCGGTAAGGACGAGTGGCAGCCTCATGTTGAAGTGGTAGGCTGACAAGTGCAGTGACATGGCGGCTCTGTCTGTGCTGACGAGGCCACCGACAGCTATTCTGTGCAGGCGGCAACGGTGTCTCATGAGTTGCGACAGAGATACAGATGAAGATCGCACGGTTCGGTTTGCCGATGCAGGACTTGCCACAGCAAAGTACACCGCACCTTCACGCACAGCGAGCTGGGGCGCAACTACAACACTGTCGAGGCCTCCAAGCGGAGACGTTCATAAAAGTGTTTGATGAGCAGCTTTCCACAGCCTCGACTGGAATTGTCACAAGGTTGTGCAAAGCCTATCTCATTGTTCTTGACACATAGCCGGCTCTTTGTCGGGTCTGTGCAGTCCCATCTTTCGAGCTTGCAGTGCTAGGAGTGGCAGTGACCCTTAAGACAAGCCACTGCGACTCGATTCGAAGGCACTCGGAGAGGCTCCAGAATTGCAAGAATACCTGGAGCCGCTGCCTTGCCGTCCGTCAAGTTCTCATGTTTCTACGAATGCGGGGTGCACTATTCGAAAGTGCGCTTTGTGACATGATGCTGGTGCTCAGACTGGATGCACGTGAACAGTGTTACTTCGAGACCCTTTGACATTGGGCATCACATTCTCCTCACGGCCACCGTAGCCGTAGGCTGCAAAACCGCACGCCTTATCAGTCTGTGTGTGGGCGCGTGTCTTGCAACCGCAGAGATGGAGCGGATTTGAAAGCCAATCGCACGAAGCTGGATATATCTGGATATACTGATATACTTCGTGATATCTGCCAGCTGCAGTACTCAATCAGGTCTCGTCGACCCTGGGGCCATGCCCAAGCTGCAGGCAGCGCTTGGAGTGAGCGAGGTGTAAAGACTGTGTAAAGGCTGTGCTTCCCGCCAACGTTCTGCCCGAAGTGCTGCAGGCAGCAAGACGAGTCACTTCTAACGTGGGCATCTTCGATGGACCAGGTTTCTTCCAGTGCGCCCTGAGTGCCTTCGACGTGGAAGGAGCCACCCGGTTTCGCTTCTCCCGTCCGCAGGTACCGGCCAGCCCCAAGTTGACCTCGGAGGTGCAGAGACCTTGACTGTCGCAGCAACATCCTATCTCAAGCATGCTGGGCATTTTAGAGGCTTGCTCTCGGTCTCGAAGGCCGTCATGCTGGTGAGCCCGGTGATCTGCATTTGCGAGTTCCAGCGTGCCAGTTTCGAGGTTTCATGACGTGATCGCGGCCTGACGAATAGTTGTGCAGCCATTGCATAGACTCGCCACGCACCGGTCATTCCAATTCCGGAGCTCTTGACCCGTTGAGGCGAAATGTACAGATACTGAGCTCACGCAGCTAATAACAGCAACAGATAGCCGCAGCAGTTAGCAATGGCAGACAACAACAGATAGCACTCGCAGTAGCAGCAGCAGGTCGCAGCAGACATTAGCAGACAGCAGCAGCAGATAGCACCAGCAGCAGCAGCAGATTGCACCAGCAGCCGCCTAAGCAGCAGCACGTAGTACAGCGAGAGAGAGGGAATGAAAGAAGGTACCGATCATATGCACGATGATGCACGTCTGCTGACATGTCTGGAACCNNCCCCCCCCCCCCCCCCCCGGATACATTATTGCTCCCCGGAGACCCCCAGGCAGGAATGTATCGGGGGGGGGCCCTATGTTTTGGACTTGAGAGCCGGTATCGCAGCTACTTACGCCGACGATCTCTCCAGAAACGGCGCCACCAATCGGTGAGTTTTCGCACTCTCATATCGCCGGAGTCTGTCAGAGTCCGTCAACAGGGACATAGAGTTCGTGCGGAAGGGAAACTCCCGCAGGTTTGGCCACGAATACAGCGTCCTGAGAGCGAAGGCTTCCCCTTGGTCCCGGCATCAGGAGGACTTCCAAGAAGTCGATGCCTGGCATGTGCGACAATTTCTGCCTTCGTTCCTGCGGCGTCAAAGTTTCCGAGCTTTGCCCAGGTAGCTCTGCCGTAGCTCGCCAGGAGATGGCGCTGACCTGCAGACGACATGGGCTGGAAGACGTCAAGAAAGGGAAAAGGAAGCAGCCGCTAGCAGCTCAGTAGGTGTTTTTTCCGTACCTGTACTCTGCGATACATCGCATGGCTCCGCCTTCTTGGGCCCTTCGTCTCCTCCGTCTCTCGTCTCCTCAGCGTTGTCCTTCAAAGGGGGGGGACGCCGCCGCCCAGCTGCGAGCATGGCGGAGTCCACCCACGATCACCTCTTCAAGCTGCTCATCATCGGCGACTCGGGAGTTGGGAAGTCCTCCATCCTGCTCCGCTTCTGTGGCTCTGGCTCGGTTAGACCCGTTCTCTAGTTTGTTTTTACGCTTCGCAAAGCTCCTGCAGGCGACGATGAGTTCAACGAGAAGCAGGCGTCCACCATTGGCCTGCGCCCTGGTTTGTGCTGCCGCGTCCCAGTTAGTCGTAGAATGGGTGTGGCTGAGTAGTCTGCAGCCCTCACCCGAAAGAACTTGACTCAGGCGTCGATTTCAAGACCAAGTTCTTACAAGTCAGGGGCAAGAAGCTCAAGCTTGCACTTTGGGTCGCGACCTTAGCACGCTGATTTGCAGAAGGACAGGGTGAGGTCATGGAAGCCAAGGACACTGCAGGGCAGGAGCGCTTCCGAACCCTCACTTCCTCGTGCCCCTGGCCTTGCCTTGAAGTTTGCCTCTGCCTCTCTACGAACTTTGCCATGAACCATGCTGGGACCGGCAGGTACTATCGAGGAGCCCAGGGAATCATCCTTTGCACTTCGGTCGAAAAGAGGAAGAGGAGAAGACTCGTCTTATGGAAAGACACACCTTTGACCGAGGCTACGACTGCACCCAACGGAGCAGCTTCGAGCACGTGAAGTTCTGGCAGGACGAGGTCAGGAAGTGCTTCGGCTCGGCAAGATGAAGCGAAATCGAGGAATCTTCTTGCCTGTTGCCGGCGCCAGCTCAGGTACTCCACCAACCAGGACGCTATCTTGATGCTCGTCTCTAACAAGGCCGGAGTGAGAAAAGCCGAGTCTATTCCTGCTGCCCAGTGACAGGTCGACCTGGCTGACCAGCAGGTAACCCGAACTGAGGGCGAGGACTAGGGCCTCCAAGGGCGCTCACAGAATGGAAACTCTGAATGCGACTGGTGCTTGCATGCTGACCCTGCGAGTGCAGGAGTTCGCATTTGCCAACTCGATGATGTTCATTGAGACTAGCGCTAAAACCAGGCCAGTGCAGATTCATGTTCAGCCACAGATCTTTGAGAGCTGCGAGTCGATATCGAATCGAATTTTGGCTGGAGCCGCGCAGAAACAAAGGGCAGCAAAAGGTGTTCCTGCAACATGCAGCAACGCAAGTTCTTTGGTCCACAGACAGAAGACACTCGTTTCATGCTGGCTCGACGGGCACTGGTGAGTGCAATGGCCACAGCCTCTCGGCCGAGGACTTCGACGTAGGCAGAGTCGATGGATGTTTGGGGACAGAGGCCGTCCATGTCCAGGAATCAAGCTTCTATCATCTTCTATCACGCTCTGTTGTGGACATATAAAGCTTGGCTCTTCTTCCATGTCTCCCGTGCCCCACCTTCCTCCGCTTCCAGAATCAGGTCCTGGCGTTCTTGGCGACGCCTCCGGTCATCTGCCATCCTCGATTGTTCCCCGCTGTCCGGCGTTTCGGAGGCTCCTGGGCAGTGGCCCAATTGGCATTGTGGAATCTTCATCTTTCCTCTCAGGAAAGTCTGCGGAAAGGGCCCCTTCCATCTTCCTGGTACGCCACGGACAGTCCACCTGGAACCTTGCAGCCAAACGACTTGACCTTTGGACGATGTTCCGCCAGGTGCCCGCCACAGTTCTCGTCCGACAGTACTCGTTGTCACGTCCCAAGTGAAGCTATCCGAGCCGAGGTGGACCATGCCTTGACCACCGAGGGTGTCGAACAGGACGATGCGACAAACATTGAGACATGCAACACCTCCTTTCTTCAACTACAAATGGGCTCCATGTGCGACTTCTCGTTTTGACTGCTCTAGAAATTCGAAGTAGGAACGGCATGCTAGCAAAAGTACCGACTTCTTCACGCAAGTACTGGACTCATTCCTCAGACTGTCCACCGTGCAGTCATCGTGTTCGCTCTGTGGGCACCCTGTAGCGGTTGGCGAACAGATTTAATACAAGGCTGTCGGCTGTCAAGTGGAGGACTATGCCGAAGAAGCTTCACAGACTTGCGGAAACGAACATAGGCTCAAGCGAAACTCCAGTGCATGTGGTTCTGGGTGCCCTAAAACCGCAGTCGCAGGCATCCAGGCTGAGGTCCTCAACATTGACGGCCCGGCGTAATGGAGACATTGATGCAGCCGGAGCCTCAGACCTCGTGATGTCTGGAGGGTTCTCGCATGTGCTCATGCTCCCGTTACACACGCCTCGTTTCTTCCGCACTTGTGTGAGGCCTTAGTTTCACACGGGGTGTTCAGTGGCAGTCCAACTTGCAGCGGCACTAAGTTTGCTCCATGTCCGCTCATGAGTGCTACCTGCAAATTCAAGCAAGCATAACAGCTGACACATCCGGCTGCCCAAGGAGCAGTTTCTGTCCCCGCAAAGCCTGGTCTTTGCGTCGCCACTGTCCCGTGCTGTAGCCACGAGCGTCGTGGCGCTGGGCTTGGAGAGGACTCTTCGCGCTGTGATTACAGTGTGCTCCTGGCGATACGACAGCCCACGAGGTAATGCATTCGGGTGTTTGTGCAAAAATGCCGGTGGCTGTGCCCGAAATCGACAGCTTTCAGAAAGTTTTGAGGGATGGACAATACAGGCATCAAACAGGCCGCAGGCAAGCACGGCCAGCAAGGAGTCGCTGACAAATGATGATTCAACAGCATTTTATGTCAAACGAAGCCAGTCACTTTTCTGAGAGGAGCTGCGAGTTTCTCTGCTTGCTTATCGTTTCATGAGGGCTTTAAGACAACTGCACACCGAAAGACATGTGCTGAATCGGCAGGAAGATCACTCTTTTACCGGACGCGAGGGAGCTTGCCTACCCGTGGTGCGGGCCGGATTCGATCGGCGCAGCTACTGGGAGCGACATTGCCGAAAGGGCACTTCAAGATCTTTCTAAGGCACGCGATGAAGGACCAAAACTGCACATTCCGACTGATCCTACGTAAGCCCCAGCTCCTTCGAGACCTGTCGGCCGTTGGCACGGTTGCAGCAGGTGGATTCTGCATATGGCCGACCACCGATCACCGAATCTCGGCTGGCAGTGACAAGCACCGTTCTTGCATTGTGGAATCGCAGATGGGGCAGTCGAAGACAGAGATTTGTGTCGCGTGCTGAAGACGAGGAGGAAGCAGTGAAGATGATTGACGCATCGGCAGCCACTGGCATTTGGTGGAGCCGCTTCCGGGAGTCCAAGGGCCAGATGCAGCAGAGGTCGGGGCCCAAAATGCTGGCCACCTTGCTGGCGGTGCCTTTTGTTTGGTGCACCTCAGATTCGTGCAGGCTTCAAGACTTGTTGAGCAGACTTCGGCCTGTGACTGGGACGTGAAGCTGAAGCAAACCTGGGCGGCTGGGCGGTGCTGTGAGCTGTACAATGTACAACGCACAACTTAGGCCGACAGTCCTTCACCGGCCAGTGTGTTGGTGTGCCACAGCTTGTTGATCCAGCGTCTTTTCAAAGACTTCGCATCACCGCAGATGGAGGTGGATCCAGCCTCAGCAATCAAGTATGAGAGTTGCGTTATCTGAGTTATCTGTCTTTACCCACACCATGGTGCATCTCTTCAAGCAGCGACGGAGCACGAGCCCAGGACATGCCAGAATTACTCTCCCAGCTGCGGGCAAGAAAACTGCAGAACTGCGGTACCTTCGTCACCATTGAAGTCGGGTCCTAGTGACAGCAGGAATGCAAGGTATTTGCACAACAGTGTTTGAGCATCTCCGCTGGTGCCGGCAGGCGTGGTGAAAGTCCTGCTCGACGACAACAGATTAATAAGCAGTGCCCAGCTCATGTTCGGCACCAAGCTCGTGTAGCTCAAGTCGTAACACCTGAAGCACGTCTTGGGCGGAGTCGCTCCCATCTGGCACAATTACGTGACATGTCAGAGCTGGTATTCGCTGGTGCTCGACTGCACCGTCATGCTGACGTGCCAAGAGCAGCTAGCTTCAAGGACTCCCGCAGCGACTGTTGACTGCAAGCGGCCTCAAACTTCCGAAGTGCTTCAGTGCTTACAACAGCCTCTGGCATCAGCCAGACACGCTCTGTGAGAAGCGGGTCATGCGTCTCCGGCAGCGACGTTCGGCCTTGCACCCCTGGAACTACAATGGCAGCGGCTGCAGCAGCTGTGCAAAAAGCCTTCTGACTCGGTGCGTTTCTGCATGTCTTGGCCATCCGCTTCTGCAGTGGTTCACACGGTTGGGAGTTGCAGGAATGCAGTGTTGCTAGAGCTTTCAATTCAGCATGAGCTTTTGTACCTGTGAGCGTGCGCCCTGCCATCTAATTCGGTTCTGTCGCAGGCAAGGCATCAAAACTGCTTTTGAAGAAGTGGTCTTCAAAATCCTGGACACACCATCGCTCTTGCAGAGCTGCTTTGCCGCCTTCAGGGTGCAGCATTTGGATTTCCACATTGGGCATCACAGATCGGCACAGCCGGCAGCAGAAACTGTTGATGTGGCCGAGAAGCATGCGCAGTGTATGCTAACCCAGGGGTCGTGGGAAGATGCTTGTGCCGGCTTGGCCCAGGCACACAGCCCCTGGGGACTCGCCAGGTGGATGCGCAGAACCAGCGCCAGGCCGCAGGGGATTGGCTGCCGTCCAGCATAGGCGCTCTGAAGCTTGGAGGCATAGCATAGAGTTCCAGCTCTTCAGAAGACATGGTGCTATATGGTGCTCTCCAGCTAGCAACACCGTTCTCCGTCAGACTGGGCAGGCGTCGCAAGAAGGATGTGCCTGCTGATGTCTTCCACTGGAAGGTCCAAGCAGCCGAACCAAAGAGAAAACACACCAACTCCATACCCGACGACTTTTACTGCGCCCAGAGCGGGCGGGGATCAGCCTGCGTGTAGCCCTTGCTTTATCTGCAACGGTAGGTCCATGGACATAGCAGTGCCTTACTTGTGGACCTTCCATCAGCCGTAGCGTAGGGCCGAAGACCGCTTGCATGGCCATGGTGCCTCTGAGCATCTCTGAGCATTTGCAATCGTATCCCTTAAGGCAATGTTAATCTTCTTACACAACCTTGTGCATGTTCCGCTGGATCTGTCACTACGAAGCGAAGGAATGCCCAGGCACCACGGCTTTTTTGCCGCCGCCCGAAATTGCCAGCTGCGCAGAGGGTGGCAGGGTGGCCGAAGTGCCGCGTTCCATAGTCTCACCCGTTAGGGCGCTGCACTTTAGATCGGAGGCGACAGCCACTGCAGATCCCACCACGAATTTTGAGTGTAAGACTTCGATCCCAAGCCTCAAAGCGCTTGCCGCTCCAGGCGCTCAAAAGCAGCCGTGTGCCCGCTCACTCGGTACAGCCCTCGTTAGCGACCACAGTGCTGCGAGCATGCACCAAGAAAAAGAGTTCGACGGCCTGCGTCTCACTCCCTTTGAATACCGAACACACGCAGCGAGCAACGGCTTTTGCTGACCATTTCGCTTGCTTTGCCGCTGCACGGATTTGAGATTGAAGATACACACCTAGCATGAAACCAGTGGGACCGCACCTGGAAAACAAGGCGTGCGTGCAATGAGTTGTTCAACATCGTTGGCCTACCTTGCCCAAGTGTTTTTGTTTATATGGATTTTGGGCAAGATGCCACGCCGCCATGGCACGCGCACGAAAAGGGACGTTGGCTGCCGTGCTGGTATGTATTTCAGGACTTCGGCGGTCACAGAACTTGTCGTAGAAGTGCAGAAGTGAAAACGTATGCAGGAGTCGTCAGGTCAGAACGAGCGGCAGTGATTTCCCTGGCCACCAACGACTACTACGCCAGGTCCTGAGAGAACGTGCGAAGCTGGTCACTACCAGTGCAAAGGTGCTTTTGAAGCAAAATTTTCTAAAAACGCAAGGGACAGGCACTTAGACTTGTGATTTGCTACGAACTCTGCTGAGAAGATCCGAAAGAACTGGCCTGCTTGGTTGACTGCGTGGATGCATTGCCGAGGCTAAGGGAGCACTGGTGGCACTACATTCTGCAGGGCTTCACGCAGGTTTCGGAAAGGGCATATGGTAGAATCTGCGACTGGAGATGGCAGCACCTGGCCCTGCAGGTGTGGCGATAGACCGTGTGCTGATGGTCCCCGAGCAGTCTCGGCTCAGCGACACCTGGCGGCGGCGCTTCGTCGGTCTAGGAATCAAGGCCTGCAATGCCTGCAGCGCGAGGACACTGTGTTTTCCTTCTCAAGCACAACTTGGCGCAGGTGGTAAACGTGCCTGCCGTGGTCCCCAGCATTGCACTGTTGACAGCAATGGCATCTGAGCGTGCGGAGCTCGACAAGCGACCTGGACCATTCTGAAGAATCAGGCTTGGTCACAGCTTCACTTCGTGTGGACGTTTGGTCTGGGCTAGTTAGAGGCAGGAGAATGTGGGCCATGCAAGCCGGTGAGCAGCTGTTTTTCTCTCTCGCTCGCCCTCAGATGTGGCTTGGGGCTTTCAGGGTTTGTTTGGCTCTTGCTTGCTGAGAACACATGCCTAGGCAGGGCCTTCTGGACATACTCCAACCCCGTTCTTACGGCGGCGCCTTTGCCAAGGCTTGAGGAGGGGGCACTATGTGATAAGACATGATAAGACGCTTGTAAATCCTCCACACCGACAGGATTAGCTTGTTCTAGAACCGCCTTGCGGTATTTCGGCAAAACCCATGTTACCGCGGGTCCGACCTGGAGCAGGCACTCGGTAGAACGAAGACTGTCGCACAATACGCATCCACGCCGCGTCAGATGATGCCCTGGGCGCGAGACTGTATGTGCACGGCATAGCTCAAGTCACGAGCGAAGCGAATGGCAAAGCATACACCTGACTTGCCTTGCTGGTTCTTATTCTGCACGTGGATGCGAAGCCTGGCAGCAGTTCATCTAGGTCAGTTTGTTCGGTCGGACCTGTTGACAAGGTGCATGCGTGGGACGAGCAGCTGGGATATGAGCAACTTGGAGCTCTCCAAGAAACACTGACAGAATTGCTTGGAGGCAAAGACTAGGTCAGTGTTGACACGCGCACGTGATTGGTCAGAAACGCTGTACGCAGCGTGCATCCTGCTTTCCTGGTTAATCTTTCCGCAAACCGAAAGTACCGGGTAGCATCTGAATGAGTCTGACTCGACTCTGACGCGCATGGTGAGCAGATACGTGTCTAGGAAAGTGATCCTGCTGGATGGCGACGTGCTGATCAAGGGGGATCTGCTTGGCCTCTTGAAGCTTAGCAGCTTAGACATCTTAAGCTATGAGCACTTCACAGAAATGGGCTCTCTCTGTATGCTCCGGTTCTCAGACACCAGACAGCGCTTGATACTGTTCTTCGAGCCGTGTGCCACAAGGGCGCGAAGCAGCAGCCCTTCTCTCTGACTCGCTCTCTCTGAGACCCCTCTCCCTGCCGTCCTCCCAACCAGAACACTCTGTGCGAGGCAGCAGCAGCCTATCAGCGCCTCGAAGGAGCCTCCACCAGCCACGCACGCCTGCAAATGCTTGAACGATTACGGCACCATGATATGTCATTACCCCATCACCTCTAGCGCTGCCACCCTAACCCAGCGAAAGCTGTCCGGCAGGACTTGGCAGATGCCTTCAACTACGGCGTCGTCGTGCTGAAGCCTGATGCGACAATCCACAGAGACCTGGTTCGTTTGCTTGTGGAGGCCACCGAGGAGGACTTGCGTCGGTACAACACGAGGAGCCATGGCGTTTGCAGGTGTTTACCTTCCCTGCTCCTGGACAGTCTGCATACGCGAACAGTTTGCGAGGACAGCAAAGGCAGTAGGACTCTGTGACCAGACGTTGGTGGCTGGGAAACTTGGCTTGCAAAAGTTTGTTTGGCAAGCCCATGACTGTGTAGTGCTCTTGAGACATCAGTAGCGATCTCGACAGTCCAGTGTGTCCAAGGCGATTAGCAGAGCTGTACAAAATCAATTTTTTCGAGGCACCTTGACAAGAGCCACAGCAGTGGGACGTGGTTCGAATCCGCAAGATGGAAGGACATGCGAAAGGCATCGCGGCAAAATCCACAAAAGTGGCTGATGTCCACCGAGTACAACCTTGTCGTCTCGTACCGGGCCAAAGAGCGTTGCGACCTGCCCGGCGAACGGAAGAGGGTTCACAAGGCACCTTCGCTCGCGTGCTTACCTACATCAACTTACATCAGTTTACGCACCACAGCTGCCCAGATTGAGCTTGGAACGAAGGCTAGAATCATCCACTTCGCGAACAACTGGCTGAATTTCGAGACCCTGGCAAAGGAACGCACGGATCGCCTTTGCTGTGCATGATGAGTCCGCTAGGTTGTAGGGTGCAGGCATACCCATGTCAATGTGGTATTCTTCGTTTCGCCATCTTTTGCCAGACAGGACCGGGACTCACCCGGGCGCATCGACTCGCCACGCTGCTATAAGGACTGTGGCACTTTGCTACTCCAGAGCTTCCCTGAGCTTCACTGAGACTGCAGGCAGCCTTCCGCTACTGGCACGACGTGTACAACCACGCTTTGTCAGACAGGAACTTCATTTGACCTTCATTGTGCCGCATATGATACACCGTCAGTCCAGCTCCAGGAGCACAGTTCCTCCACCAGCATACACGCCGTTGGACTTTGAATCCGACGATGGGCTTGCGAGACTGGCTTGCAGAGCTCTGTGGACAATGTGCTGCTACGAACTCTGATGATCCCAAGTCTTATCTTCATCTCAGGACACCGGAAGAAGTTCAGGCCGTTTTCCTGGACTTCCAATCCCGAAGCCGCAAGTTCGAGAAAGGCCCAGGCTGCCTGGCTTGGATTGGACAGAGCGGCTTCGGCTACCACTCGAAGGCATTCCTGCAGTCCTGAACGCTGTGCCGAGGCGACACGGTGTTGGAGCTCTAGTCCGAAGAGCCAACGGGGGAAAAGCGCAGTACCAGCATTTGATCGATGTGTTTGTTGCTGTTGTTGTTGTTGCTGTTGCTGTTGCTGTTGCTGTTGCTTTTGTTGTTGTTGTTGTTGGCGGTGGTGGTGTTGTTGTTGGCGGTGGTGGTGGTGGTGGTGGTGGTGGTGGTGGTGGTGTGCGGTCGTGCGTGGTGGTGGTGTGCGGTCGTGCGTGGTCAATACGGTTTCGATCATGCTTGGAGAAAGTGTCAAGTGGAGGAAAAGTCATGTTTGATACTTGACCTGTCGGATGACATTGTCACTGAGACTTCATGCTGCCGCCCACTGCTGCACTCCGAAAGCTGCCACGGCTTGCAGCTTACATCTATCTCAGAGAGTTGAAACCTTGACCTGCAAGCTCTCAGACTGAAAGCTAGTAAAGTACATTCCCTAAGCGGCACCTGTTGAATCTACTGGCCATTCTCTCGGCCACCGGCGATGCCATGTCAATGTGAGTACAAGTCCTGGGCTCCCTGATGCCGCGGCAACGGCCAAAGCCGCCACCGCCGCCCTCCCCCAGCGAGGAGGAGGAGCGCAACTGTGCCATGCTGAACTGTGTCAGATCTGTCAGTTTCAATGCCTCTCAGCCTGAGGATTCCGAGGAGCAGCTCTATGAAGAGGCGGTGAAGCAAGCAACGATCTGCCGCGTTTGCCCAAATTCTACGTAACACCCCTTCTTCCCTGGCAGGCCGAGGCGCTTCGGCTCAAGACACCTTCTCCAGAGCCGGAGGAGCCACCCAGAAAGAAGCGGCGCGAAAAGAACGCCCCAGTGCTACCAGGCCAGGCTTCCTGCAGCCGCCTTTCAGCCGCCTTCACTGGCCCCTGTTTCGTCACTGTTGTCCATCTTCTCGTGCTCGTCGTCTCTGCTGATAGATGTTGCACATATCCTGTAGTCAGGGCCAGGTGCGGTGCCACACAGCTCTTGGCTCTGTCGAACGGAGAACGACGCACGGTGTGTACAGAACAACGTGCATGTCAATGCATTGCCTTTTTGCTTCAACCTCCTTATCTGCAAGGGTCCCTCTTTGACGTTGCGCGCAGGTAGATCGATCTCACCAGATGTCACTCAGCGGAAGTCCAAGAAGGCAGCGCCTCACGGAGCATGCCGTCGCTCCACCATTGTCGTCTTACAGCCTCGTAGGAGAAGAAGCGAAAGAAGGAGGTAAAAGAAGGAAAGGAAGGCTCCCTGCTTGTGCTCCGACATTGTCCATTGCATGCGCTAGCCACAAGAGTTCGTCGCAACAGAGTTGAGTTCTTGCATGCCGTCTTGGAGGCCGCAAGCAAAGATCGCCCTAGACTCAGAGTTTAGAGCCACGGCAGATGCTGAATGTCGGGTTAAGGCCGTAGTTGACCCCATCGACATGCCTCCCCAGGGACAGACCACGGCGACGAGAGATGAGTCAGTCGCAGGCCAGCATGCCAGAAACTCAGACGTCAGAGGCTTGGTGGAATGATGTGCAATGCTTTCCTTCGGGGTGCAATCTAGAGGCCTTGGCCGTATGCATGGCCAATGCCAATGCCGCACATGCCCATGCATGCGATGCCGGCGACGGCTGCACCGTCCAAGACCTCCGTGTTCAAACCAGGCAGGGAGGATTTTCGCAAATACGATTGCCGACAACCAGTTGCCGAACAGGCGCAGCGATGTCGCCGCAGATCACTGCAGCTCCAACCATCCCCACGTTGCACAGCGTGATGACAGGCTGGCCGACGGAGGGATGTGCCGTCTAAGCAGGATCACGAGTTCTCCAACCCAGTGCCAGAGTGAAACGCCCTGTCTCGGTCCCTCCAGGTGAGGTCCAGCTCTTGACGCCAAAGGGCGCGCTGGTCGCGCTTAGTGACGACTCACCTCAGCGAGCCTCAGATTGCACGCAGCGGGGACGCAATCATCACCCTGGTGGACCCCTGTGCTGATGAGGAAGGTGGTATATCGTCGTTTTGTCGTAGGTTTAGTAGCTTGGGCAGCAGCAGCACCACCACCACCACCACCGCCACCGCCACCTGCAACATGGGGAGTAAGATACCTGAAGTCGCCGTAGCAGCGTGTTGTGCAGCTCCGGGTGCGTCCGCAAGAGCTTCTCAGATACCTCGACCAGAAGTAAGGCTTCAGATGCACCAATGCAATGCTCTGAGACCTTAACTCGGCAGCGCGGCTCGCTTGCGCCAGAAAGACCTGCACTTGGGACCTGGTGCTTGCGAGCCCGCAAGCCCGAGGGGGTGCCGTGTCACTGCCGCTTGTTGCTAGAAATCTAACAACCTCGAGAGCTAGGCTATTCACGACAAGCCTTGGCTCTTGGCATGTGTCTGCATCCATGCATGGATGCATGCATGGGCTGCATGGAGGTAGGTGTTATGTATGTATGCATGGCTAACTTCAGGCATGATCGGATCAAACATCTCTCTCTCTCTCTCTCTCTTTGTCTCACTTCTCGTTGATAAGAGGTATCTATCACGTTGTCGTTCGTTCATGCACATAGTCTTGGCCTGCAGTTGATATAACACTTATTTGCCACTGCATCCTTGCGCATGCATCTGTTTCTCAATCGCGATATGTATACCCTGTTTATTGATGTGTGCATCTTGTGTAACAAGCAACTGAGCGCAGCGTACCCATAAGAGTTCGTATGGGAACCGTACTCGTTGCGTCTTATGCGCGATCGAGCAAGCTTGGGGCTATATAAAGTCGTGACTGAGGATACGTGGAGGGCCTCTTGCGGCGGCGAAGCGACGAGCGTCCTGCCATTCTCGGGGCCAAGTTGTACGTCAAGGCTAGGACCCGGGATTGGCGGCTTCCACATTACTGATGCCTCCTACTACTACTACTACCACCACCACCACCACTACTAGAACTACTACCACTACTACCACTACTACTACTACTACTACTACTACTACTACTTCCACTACTTCCACTACTAATTACTACTACTACTACTACTACTACTACTACTACTACTACTTCCACTACTTCCACTACTAAT